TTTAGTTTAAGTTGTGGAGGAAGGTGGGAATCACTGGGGTAGTCGTATCATTCAATTATTTCACCATCATTTAGTCAGGGAAATAACCAAGATTAAAATCTCATCTGCTCCTCCTAATAGTGATAGATGGGACTGGATTTTAAATCCTAAAGGTCTGTTCGATGCTAATTCTACCTATCAAGCCTATTATAATGCACTTTAAATCTATCTCATAATTCAAGGTTAGACAGGAGATCTGTTAATGGGAAAGACTTTTTGGAAAGCAAATCTTCAAGAGAGGAATAAATCAAGAAGAGAAGGAAGAACCGATTAAACCAGAAATTGATCTGGTTCGAACTGGTTAAGGAGAAGGATTCATTTGATCTGATTAATCAGTTCATCCAATTAGGAAACCCAAAAATCTATTCATAACCGGTTGGATCTCGGTTCCTTAACTTGGGAATTGAAACGGAATGATTATTTGATCAGTATATATACTTTTGGTTTATGTATCCATTATATTACATAATTAATTAAAAACTAGAAAGAAACTAGTTTTCAAACTCACCCACCTAGCCACCTCTTTACTTCCTTCTCTTCTTGACCAGACCCATGATGTGATCAGATTTCTTCCTCATTTTCATTCCTTCTACTCAACATTCTTCTACTTCATTCTGCATGCTTAGCTTATTAGTTCAATTTTGTTTTTGTTGGTCATCTCTTCTACTTAGCTCATTAATCCAAAGCATTTTTGGCTTGTTTTCTTTACTTTAGTATGAGTCGTAATAGAGAGTTTGGATTAACTTGAAGTCAGGGTTAGTTTGTTATTTGATACTTTATTTACATTTGCTTTCGTTAAGTCGTGCTTTTGTTCGTTTTATTTTGAATCTCAAAAGATTCTGGTGGTCATGGTGTTTGTAGCAGTAGTTGTATTGTGCAGCTGTTAAGCTGCATATTTCGGTCACAGAACGTGAGGATAAAATAGTCGTTCCTGCGGAATCCATCAACAAGCAGTTGCTGCACTATCTCATTCCCTCCATTATCTTTGGTTGGTTAAAAGTAGGAGTTTGCGGTTGTATTTTTATGTATTTAAACCATTCCCAAGCAGCAAGGAAAAGGAGACGTTTATTGAATCTAAAATCTTGTGGTTTATTCTCAGCCGAAGAGAATGTCTTCACTAATTTTCTTTGGTTTCTGACTGAGACCTATCAATTGGTATTAGAACCATGACAACAAATAAAGAAAGAATTGAGAACCTAGAAGCCAGCATGGACAAATTGCAGGGTAGACTGAGCCGGATGGAGGTCGGGTTTGCTGCCAAATTCTACCAAATTGAAGACATCCTTAAGCGGCTAACAGACATGTTACTGGTAAACTGTGAACGCTCCAGCAGCAACATGTAAGGGCCGGCCTGGCCAGACGTAGCCATTCCGCATTGACGACGCTGAAATAACCGATTGGAGACCTATCATTATTTGCGAGATTGGTGTTTGTAAATGGGAGTCATGGGACTTACCTGATTTATCGGTGACAAAAATCAGAGACCCGGAGTTGTTCTTCTGCCCACTGGACAGAAAGTACCCAAATGGGAGCAGATTGAACAAGGCAACGAAGGCTGGTCACTGGAAGGCTACTGGCAAGGATCGCAAAATTACGTCCGGAGTCAACCTGATAGGCAGGAAGAAAACTCTGGTCTTTTATACTGGTAGAGCTCCAGAGGAAAAAAAGACCAATTGTGTTATGCACGAGTATCGCACAACGGAGGACGACCTTAATGGCACCAAGCCTGGCTAGACTGCCTCTTTTCTTTTGAAATTATTCAAGAAACAAGATGAAAACCTTGAAGGTTCAAACTGTGATGAAACTGAACCCACTAGTTCATCACTTGCAGCTATTAAATCATCCCTGGAAGATATGCAATCGAAGTTAAAATTGCCCCAAGTGTCTCCATCTTTGGAAAGGAAAGAGAAAAGACATTCTGAGAATACTAAATCTTGTTTTGCTGACTTCTCTAACAGAACAAATTCATGTACTCGAGTGTTTGCTGAGTGTCACAACACCAATTCTGGTGTTTGTGATGTGGAAGACCAAGCTTCCGAAGTGACGGACTCAGAAATGGATCATCATCTAGAAGCGGATCCGAATTTATTCTATGACCCATTGTTGGAGCTCCTATATTACGATCTTTTTTCACTGTTGCATTCACAGATGCAATCAGAGTTGGGATCTTCTTACATGTTTTACCCCCAACAATACTGCGATGAGTAACAACAAGGGGATGCAATTTCAGGATGGTTCAAATGAGTCGGATGCCTATATTTTGGAGTTTTTAGATTCGGTCATTAAAGATTCAGAAGAGTATTCCTCTAATGCATATGCTGGACCAATTAATTCAACTACGGGAAGTAAGACCACAAACAATATGGGCTCTGTTGAGGACAGTGGATCACGCTTCAGAGTCAGATGCGGAAGTGACCCAATAACAAGTTCTTTTGGTACACCAACTTGAATAAGAACATCTGATAACTACAACCGTGTGCAAAAATATTTTGATTATTTGTTTTATATAGACTTTGAAGCATCAATGGCTCAGTAGAGAATGCTCTCAGGCATCTGAAGGAGTGCTACTTTCTTGCGAGTGCTAAGAAGCTCTTAATGAGGAAGATGCCCAAGGAAGATACCACATGGGAAACTACTATAGAGTTGCAAAAATAATTTCGGTCATCTGAACCTTGAGGACAAGGTTCCTAAAAAATGAGGGAGTAATATGAAGCTGCATATTTCGGTCATAGAACATGGGGATAAAATAGTCGCTGCTGCAGAATCAATCAACAAGCAGTTGCTGCACTATCCCATTTTCTCCATTATCTTTAGTTGCTTAAAAGTAAGAGTTTGCGATTGTAATTTTATGTATTTAAACAATTCCCAAGCAGCAAGGAAATGGGAATATTTATTAAATCTAAAATCTTGTAGTTTATTCTCACCCGAAGAGAATTTCTTTATTAATTTTCTTTGACTTCTGATTAGAACCTATTAGCAACTAGGACTGCTCTTCTTCATATTAAATCTTTTTATCAATCTTATTTAAATATTGAGCACTATAAAATTAATCAAATTTCATTTTTATATGTGTTATTTTTTATTTGAGATAAAATTGTTATTTTTACTAAAAAAAAAAGAATATAAAGATTGGAGTACCTAATCATTTTCATATATATTTGTTAACAAATAGTCAATACTTAGTTAACTCATATAATAAAAATGTATTTCATATTTAGTAAAGACAGAGAGTAGGAAAGTCACTCTTGTTTATAAACAAATGAAAAAGCCAACAAAAGAGAATCCTCTTGCAACTAATGGAAACACTTCTTTCTTGTAAAGACTTTGATTCAACTGTTTATAATAAATTTTCTAAAACTTTATAATATCTTTTAAATCGATGTAGCTTGAAGTGTTTTGTTCTTCACCTTAATTTTGCTGCCTTTTTACAACATGAGTTTTCTGGTATATGTTTCTTGATTACTTATTTGTTAAGAATGGACAATATTACTTAAAATTGCCTTCTTTCTCAATTTTGATTTTGAAAGTCTTAGAGTGAATTTTTCAATTGGATTTGTTTCTTCTTCAAACAAATTGTTAATCGATTGGACACCTTTTTTATATTTGGTTACTCTAAAATCTAATTGTATCTGGGTAATTTCATTTCTTTTGGTACTCACTTTGCTTTATTTTTATATTGTACATGCATGTTATCTATGTAATTTATACACAAGTAGTAAACTTACATCCTGTTTATTTGAATAAGATGAGTTGTTGGTGACCCAATTCTCAGTTTGTTTATCTTTGATTGTAAGTAGAGTCTGGTTCTCCAACTATTGGAGAGAAGATGTAACTTGGAGTTTAGATTTTGGGCAATCAATATATGTGCTAAAAGCCTTTGACGGCTCTACAAATTGAAATGCTTTTGGCCACAACAAATTGAAGATGTGTCTTGTCAAAGTATTCTGCCTTTGTTTTTACAGCAATAAGGCAAAATCTAGCTATCAAAAAAAAAAAAAAAAAAAGGAGTGTTATTATTAAGTAAAAATATAATTTAATTTCATTTTTAATAAATGTTAAATAAAAAACTAAACATAAACGCTTCTACAATGTAGTTTGTGTTGGAAGATATGAAACATATTTTCAATAAATATTGTTATTAATTTTACTAATTTTATAAAATTAAAATAAAATGTAAAATTAATTTGTTACTAATAATTTTTACATTTACTGTAATTATTTAAATAATCTTTTAGTTTATAAATTAGTATTATTAGTGAAAAATTAATAAAATAATTTAATTCATAATATTTTTAAATTAATTTAAATTATCAGAAAAAAAAAATTAAAAAAAAAATATCTTGGTTATTTAAGCAGTTGCAATAATTAAGTTTTTTAGTATTGAATTATTGCAATAAGGCAATGAAGCCTTATTAAAATGAATAAAATAGCTTGTTTGGCCAGTATTCTGCTTTTTTCTTTTTTTTTCTTTTTACTGCAATAAGGCAAAAACCTAACTATTAAAAAAAAAATAAAAAAGTGTTATTAAGTGAAAATATAATCTATTTTCATTTTTAATAAATGTAAAATGAAAGACTAAACTTTAAATAAAATATAAAATTAATTTGTTACTAATAATTTTTACATTTATTATAATTATTTAGTTTATAAATTAAATAATTATGATTTGGAATTAGTAATCTATTGAAAAATTAATAAAATAATTTAATTCATAATAGTTTTAAATTAATTTAAATTATTTAAGAAAAATATCTTGTTTATTTAAACAGTTGTAATAATTAAATTTGTAGTATTATATAATTCATTATGATTTCAATATTTACTAATTTTATAACATAAAAAATTATTAAATAATAAATTATTTTTACTAAAAACAATGAATTCATCACACATCTACTGTCTAGTATACTTTGAAGTTGTATAAAAAAATTCTACCAACCATCCTCAGCCTTTTTATCTCAGTTACAACACAAATAGATTTACTTAACCTATTAATCATCTATTGGCCTCTTTAATTTATATATATATATACATACAGTCTCTCTACTAGCTTCTTATTATTCTGTTCTTCACAAGCCTCAACTGCAAATACCAGGATCTGCTCCAGTCTCCCTCTGCCTCAACATCTGTGTGTATCCTCAATCTCTTTACTCTAATCATTATTTTTTCTGAGATAAAAAAAATATACAATATATAAATGCTATGGCACCAAAGGAAATGCAACCCATATACAAAACTATATATGACATGTCCAAAACCCTCCATCCTAGATATGTTATTCCCCGAAAAAATGGAGTATGAAGCAGTCTATCCTTAAATTTAGACATACGACTCTCCACCCCATCAAAGGTTTTCCTTTTCAAAGGGTCTCTTGTGGGTAACAATCAAATGGTTACTATTTGGTATGATGATTTCACAAATGCAACTCAATTACCCAGCAAAAATTAGTAAATTAATCGAAATAAAAATTAACCCTTCTCATGCAGATGAATCAGTTAGTGCTTATTCTATCATGGAATTGTATTCAGAGCATAACCAGCATCTAATGCTGAACTGAACAAAAAAACAAGGACAGCTCTACCTCCACAACGAAAAGAAAAAGAGTCCCACACACTCTTACCTCCAACCTTCATCAACAAAGAGAGAACTTTTAGAAAGAGAGAAGTTTAGCAACTACCAAGAATGCCCAAATTACAGATTAGTCCAGCACTAAAATTCTTAAAAGAATCCCAATCTAATAACAGATCCGTTCTTATCCTAAAAAAAGCTCTTCTCCGAGATGGCCAACAGAACATGATCTCTATGAAAGGTAATCTTTATTATCTTTTCCTCTTCTTTCCTTTTAACTGTTCTGAACCAGGCAAATCCCTGCTGAATAATTCAAGCTCTTGGAAATCAAAATCAAGCACAAAGCTAGGGCCTGACACCTCTATGAGAGTCATGTTCTATAGTAGCTAACTGCATAGGGTTAGCTCATACCTCTATATTTAGGAGTTTAAGGGATCTTATTGAAGATACTGATTCAGAAATTATTTTCTTGTGAAAAACAAAGAATTTTACTTAAAGCTGAATGAAACAAAGAATTTTGGGAAGATTAAAATAAGACCTAATGCTCCTCCATTCACAAGCTTACTATTTGCTAAATATCCCCTAATTTTATGATGGGCAACCGAAAAGAAAATCTCTAATGTTATGGAATGCATTCACCAATATTGCTCGTAGTCAAGCCAATCCCTGAATAAGGCATACTCTTCTATCTTTTTCAATATAAACACCAAGTCGATCCTCGAAAGGAGGTTGAGATCCATATCTGACCTCAAAACTCCAACTGAAAAAGGTAAATAGTAGGACTGCCTTTCCAAGAGAAAAGCTAGTGAAGAGAGCTTCAACATTTTGGCTGGAAAAACCTCTCTCTCATACACCATAAGAGCTACCGTAGTAAGATCAGTTTTGCCTAAGAAAGTTACTGATAATCTGACAAGAATTAACCAAAAAATTTCGGTAGGGTTTGGATGAGAGCAAACTCATGGCTTTACTACAGTTAACTAGGACATAATTTGCAGGCCTATATCACTTGGAGAACTTGGCTTCAGAAAGAGTTCAATCTAGCCTTGCTAATAAAGCTGAGTGCCAAAAAAATTCAGATTGATCTTTAAAAAACCTTGGATCATTATAATTAAAGCAAAATAGATGAAAGGGTTCTCAATACAATAGATGTTTCCAAAAGAAATCTGATTCCCCATCAACAAAACCTGTATTCAAGCACACTGGACCAATCATGCCGCTTGTCTCTTCTGCTTCTCTCCTTACGTGGCCTTCCCTTCTGGTGCCACATTAATTGTGAAGTTAAACAAGATAATACATTCACGAGAAGATAAATTTATTCATGTGATCTCATTGTTTCTCGAGTAATTAATCTTGAAAAACCACCACATACAATTAATTAGTCAATAATCTCCGTTTTAATCCATGCATGACTTCACCTCATTTACGAGAAGGTTTACATTACCCTATTTTGAATCCCACCTATAAATAACCAACTACAGCACTATAAATCATCACCACTGCACTATTTTCAATTCTTCTTTCAAACTTTTTCAAATATCAGATAGTAGAACAGCATATCTTGAAGATGGACAGCAATGGAGAAGGAGGCGAAAAGGGTGGTGATGGTGCCAACAAGGCAAATGTTGCAACTGGTAACTGGCCTACGATGATGGTGGCTACGAGTGCTGGAACTGGATTTCGAATCGTCAGGAGGGATTTTAAGAAGAATCCACAGGGTTGTGTTTCTCAACTGCACGCGAATGAGAAAGCAAACAAGAAGTAGTAATGTTCTCGGAGCTGCTGTTAATGTTTATGAGTAGTACGTGGTGTAATAATTATCTTCTACTAAATAAATTGAACGTTTATGAGTTTTAACTTTCCTTTAAATCCATCTCACAACAAAACCAAATCAGATTTCATAACAACAATCAAAATTCATTCAAGGATTCAAATAAATCAAATACATGTTTTGTTTATAGGGATCTTATTCACAGTTGATACAGAGTCATACCACTCTGAACCTAACTCCATAGAGGGAAGGATGAATGATGAATCAATAGTCTCCTAAAAAAGGTTAGTCCAAATAGAAACAACTAATAATATTACAGACAGATGAGGCGATATCTAAATTGGCGAGAAAGATCGAAAAGGAAATCCTATTTTGACAGAACAGCTAAATAGTAATAATTGAAACAACAGTAAGTCCTAAAACTGGGAAGTTGCAGGATAGTTGGTGATGGGAAGAAATACCAGCATTTAGTGTGATCTTTTCCATTAAGGATTTTAAGCATGTTAGTTAAGTTGTGGAGGAAGGTGGGAATCACTGGAGTAGTCATATTACTCAATTATTTCCCGATCATTTTGTCAGGGAAATAACCAAGATTAAAATCTCCTCCTAATAGTTGGTAGATGGGACTGGATTTTAAATCCTAAAAGTCTATTTGATACTAATTCTACCTACCAAACCTATTATATTGTTATTTAAATCTCTCATAATTCAAGGTTACACAGATTATTAATGAGAAAGACTTTTTGGAAAGCAAATCTTGAAGAGAGGAGTAAATCAATGTGGCCGAGAATTTGGTACTAAAATGATTCTATATCATACATTTCACCCTCAAAAGATACTAGCTACTGCTATCTATATGGTGGGGAAGACAGATACAATAATTTATTCCTACAATGTTATATCATTATAATTTTATGGCTGTTTTTGGATGGAGGCATAAGAGTACAACATTACAATTGGAATTCAATGGACAATTATCTTAATTACTTCATCAAATCACAAAAGCAAGCTAATAATCTTGGACTCCATAAGGAAAAAATATCTTTTTATTTGCAGTAATTATTGTCGATAAAATATATTATCGCAGGGAAGAACAAATAGCGACCGAACCAATTAAACCAGTTCAAACCGAACTGGTTAAGGAGACAGATTCGATTGATTTGGTTAATCGGTTCAACCGATTAGGAAACCCAAAAATCAATTCATAACCGGTTCAATCTTGGTTTCTAAATTTGGGAATTGAAACCGACCAATTAGTTGATCAGTATATATACTTTTAGTTTATGTATCTATTATATTACATAACTAACTCAAAGTTTCTTTCTAGTTCTCAAACTATAGTAGCTAACTGCAGAGGATTAGCTTATACCTCTATATTTAGGAGTTCAAGGGATGTTATTGAAAATACTGATCCAGAAATTATTTTCTTGAGAGAAACAAAACTTGATGGTTTAAAAATGAAATCTACTTGTTTAAAGCTTGGTTTTGATCAGTCTCAAATTTGGGCAGCAAATGGGAATGGAGGTGGATTACACTTAACAAGGAAATCCATTGTGGATGTGCAAGTAATTACTACTGCATAGAATATTATTAATATTAATTATTGGAAACAAGCCTTGTAAAGAATAAATCTTCTCCAGAATTTTCCACCTTATAACACTACAATAAAGAAATTCTGGGACTATGAATTTTTCTTGGCTTCTTGTAGGAGATTTTAATGGCAGTTCAAAAAAACCTGAAAAAGAAAGTAAAACTCCTTCAAATGAAAGTCCATCATACAACACATCTTGAGGTGGTGGAAGGCCTTGGGCTAATTGACTTAGGCTTCGAAGGGAATTGCTTTACTTGGTTGAATAAGAGGTGTGGTGTAGCCAAGCTAAAGGCAAGATAAGATAGAGCACTATCTAACAGTCAATATCATCTTTTATTTCATGAAGCAGTAGTCATTCATTAGCCAGCCACATTTCAGATTATAACCCACTGGTTATATCTACTTCTAATTACCAAAATCATGGCAGAAAGCAATTCAAACTCTGACGAAATGTGGTTGAGGGACTCATCCAGCAAGCTGGTGAGTGAGAATGCATGTGAATGCCCCACCTATAGATCATCTGCATAAAGAGAAAAAATACATGCTTCGCCCAAATCAAATAGAATAAATCTTTTTTTGGCAGCCTTAAGAAAAGCGTCAAAGGGGTTGAAGATAGTATAAATAAAATACAACAAGAAGATCTGAGCTCTGAAAACCTTAGTAAAGAAGCATCTTTGTAAGCTGAGCTTCAAGAACGTCTTCTTAAAGAAGAAACTTAATGGGAAGAAAGAAATGAATCTAATATGGGAATCTAAACACAATTTTTTTTATCGGACAGAAAGAAAAATTTCATTGTGACACTTAAAAATTGCAGATGGCTCATTGATTTCTAATCAACATGAGATTGCAACCAATTTTATTGATCATATTTTTTTTCCTCTAGCAGGCCAAGCTTCCCTAGAGGTCTAAAATGGGCTATTTCCCTCATAAATAACTTTGTTTTTTTGGAAATAAACAAGTATATGTATTAATATGAGCACCAAGGGGGTGCAACCCATTTACATTATTTACATATCAATTAGCGTGACAATGAGTTCCGCAAAATCCTCCATAGTACCCAGAGAATGACCCCTTAAAAAAAAACTTAGGTTCTGAAACCATCTATTCTTTGAAGTGTCAAAACCATTAGTGTCATCAACCGCCTCAAAAGCCCTCCTGTTTCTCTCTTTCCCACACAGCCCAAGAAATAGTAAGTGGAACCATAGCCAGCTGACTGTTTCTACCTCTGATACCCTTCCAAGCCCATAATGCCTCCCTCACCGAGCCCGCCAATACCCAATTTAAACCCAATAACCCGTAGACTATCTGCCATAGTTTATAGACCACCAGACAGTGTAAAAGCACATACCTGCAGGTCGAATCATCATTCTTGCACAGGAAACAGTCGTTGACCAGAAATTTTCCCCTCCTTCTTAAGTTGTCAATGGTCAAGAAGCACTCCCTACAGGCCTCCCAAGAAAGAAATTCGGGATGGAATCTCGATCCTCCAAATCTGCTTAACTGGGATACGGATGCCATCATCTCTGAACTTAAACAGTTTTTTATAAAAGGACTTACTGAAAATGACCCATTTGGAGTGAGGCTCCAGCAGGGTATATCTTTACTGCCATTAACGGAGACCCCAGATAGAATCCGAAGTAACTCCTCATATTCCCCAATCTCCCAATCATTTAGGAACCTGGATACCGCCACCTGCCACTCCTTGGCCCCTCTGCTGTACACCTCAAGAAAATCTCAGATGCCATAAATAACTATTAAGGGGAATGAAAACTTAGTTAAATTCCTGATGAGCAATAAATTTTTCAGGCTCCCAAAGGCATTGGTACTCGTATGGCCCAAGGCCCATACAATATGCCTGGAATATTTTACCATCATTTCTAGCAAATAACAAAAAGAAAGAATGTTATTGCTTATGTTCAGGTCTTCTTCCATGCGGGATTCATGTTCAAAGACTTGAACCAGACCAATATTATTCTAATTCCTAGAGTAAAGGAAGCATGCTTAATCAAGTATATCTGCTCTATCTCATTATACAATGTGAGTTACAAGATTATTTCAAAAATATTGTCATTAAGATCAAGGTCCCTAATGGATGAAATTATTTCCTTCGTCAAGCAATTTTATTAAAGGCCAAATGATTCAAGAAAATATCATTGTTTCTCATGAGATCTTCAGGCTAGGCAGCAATTAAACGTGATATGAAAAAGGCATTTGATTAAGTTGCATGGAGCATCACATTTGATTATGACGAATGTGGGCTTCTGGGAGAAGGTAATCCAAATGATCTCTAATGCTTTTCTACTATGTCTTATTGAATTATGATCAACAGATCTCCATATAAAGGAGCCAAGTCTCAGAGAGGTCTTAGACAAGATGATCCCTTATTACCTTATCTATCCTCTTCACAGGAGCATTTTCTAGAATTTTACTTAAAGCTGAATGAAACAAAGAATTTTGGGGGGATTAAAATAAGACCTAATGCTCCTTCATTCACAAACTTACTACTTGCTAAATATCCCCTAATTTTATGATAGGCAACCGAAAAGAAAATCTCTGATGTTATGGAATGCATTCACCAATATTGCTCGTAGTCAAGCCAATCCCTGAATAAGGCATACTCTTCTATCTTTTTCAATATAAACACCAAGTCGATCCTCGAAAGGAGGTTGAGATCCATATCTGACCTCAAAACTCCAACTGAAAAAGGTAAATACCATCTCTCTCATACACTATAAGAGCTACCATAGTAAAATCAGTTTTGCCAAAGTTACTGATAATCTGACAAGAAATACCAAAACATCACGGTAGGGCTTGAATGAGAGCAAACTCACGGCTTTACTCCAGTTAACTAGGACATGATTTGCAGGCCTAAATCACTTGGAAAACCTGGCTTCAGAAAGAGTTCAATCTAGCCTTGCTAATAAAGCCGAGTGCACAAAAAAGTTCAGATTGATCTTTAAAAACCTTGGATCATTATAATTAAAGCAAAATAGATGAAGGGGTTCTCAGTACAATAGATGTTTGCAAAACAAACCTGATTTTTCCATGTATTCAAGCACACTGGACCAATCATGCCGCTCGTCTCTTCCGCTTGCTTCTCTCCTCACGTGGCCTTCCCTTCTAGTTCTACATTAATTGTGAAGTTAAACAAGATAATACATTCACGAGAAGATAAGTTTATTCATGTGATCTCATTGTTTCTCGAGTAATTAGTTATGAAAAACCGCCACATACAATTAATTAGTCAATAATCTCCGTTTTAATCCATGCATGACTTCACCTCATTTAAGAGAAGATATTACGTTACCCTACTTTGAATCCTACCTATAAATAACCAACTAAAGCACGGTAAATAATCACCACTACACTATTTTCAATCCTTCTTTCTAACCTTTTTCAAATATCAGATAGTCGAACAACGTACCTAGAAGATGGACCGCAATGGAGGAGGAGGAGGAGGCAAAAAGGGCGGTGACGTTGCCAACAAGGCAAATGTTGGAACTGGTGGCTGGCCTGCGGTGATGTTCGCTCCGGGTGCTGTAGTGAAGTGCAAATTGCCATGGAGGATTTAGAGAAGAATCCACAGGCTTATTCTGGTCAGCTGCAGCAGAATGAGAAAGCAAACAGAAAGTAGTAATGTTGTTGGTGAATGTTTCTGAGTGGTGCGTGGTGTAAGAATTATCTTTTACAAAATAAATTGAACGTTTATATGAGTTTAAACATTCATTTCTATCCATCTGCCACGAAGTAATCAGATTTCAAACAGGATGGGTTCAAATAAATCAAATTGGT